TACTTCAGACCAGAGACATCAATTCCATCCTCTCCTTACATTTTAAGCATGGCAGGTGTTAGAGTCTGTCCAAGTAATAACCACCATTAAATCCATAAGAGAAGTTCACAGAAGTCTAAGTATTTTCTATCAGCACGTGCAAAACTGATCAGTTCCCCAACAACTTGTAGCTATCCTTTTTTTATTCTACACTTACATACATACAACCAGAAACAACTTTGGCCTAACAAGGTCTATCTGGGAAAACCAAACCAAACCAGCACACGCTTCCCTTATTTTACACACTAACTCCTTTGATTCAACAGTGGTAGATGGCTGGGTGTAACGTCAAACACCAATAGGGTCCTTCCCTTTCAACATGACCTCTGAATATTTGTCAGGAGGAGGATGCAGACATGTACCTAAGGCCTTAGGGGTATTGCTACTGAACATCATTACCTACCGTGGAAAGACCTGGTGTCAAGCAAGTGCTGAACTACGGGCACAGAGGGTTTAATCCCCGTCTGCCACTGGCTCGTTATGTGACTTTAACCTACCCATTTCTTTCCTCTGTCCTTATGTTCCATCACACAAAACGAGCACAGCAATACAGCAGCACAGTAGGTAAAATGCTTTGAAAGTAAAATCCAATAATGAGCTTTTATGTCAATAAGGCATTCAGCATTTTTCCCCAACAGGAAAGGGCATGATTGCTTCTCCCCTTCTGAATATACATAGTGCAAATGTTAAACCAGACCTGCGTCCAAGTAACTGTTACATAGGTAAGTGAATTAACCAAAGCCAAACTTCCCTCTGTGATCAGATAGCGTACGCTCCATTTGAGCAGTATATTCAAATAAGAGGCACCAATATTTCAGCCTGGGCATGTATCAGCTCACTAGCAGAACATGCCCCGCTTTATCTTAATGAGAAATGAGGCAGCTCAAGGTTTCACTTGCAAGCTGCCTGAGAGAAACATTCAGGCCTGTCCAGGAGTCCTCTACAGCGGGTTCGTGTCACGCAGTGCAGTCAGTACGTAGTCCTGGAAGGCAAAAAACAGAACCAAGAGCCGCTGCCACCCTACAGAGAACCGAACAGTCATGTGCAGCTCACTGCTCTCTCTCCTGGCATTCCGCAGTCACCTCAAATAACTTTTCATGTTAATTGAAAATTTGGTTAACACTTTCCCTTTGTCTTCCCCTCCCTAAAAAAAAATAATTAAAATGTAAAGTTATTTGGCATACTCTTCTGAATTGTTTAACATTTGCAGTACTTTTGTATTGGCTTGCCCATCACAGGTACACCTGGACACTCAGACAGCTACACAACACCCTTACCGTGCACCTGCTTCTGTTACTGGGTGCATTTGATGCTCTCAAGAGCACAACTTCAAGACACCACATGAAAAAGAAAAAAGCGTAAGGGAAACAAAAAACAAACAAACAAACAGGCAGGCTATATTTTGCTTAAGCCCAAATAATATCAGAGACAACAACAGGATGCTTGTTTTATTGCTGCTCTTCTTTCATTTGTAAGCTTTGCCACCCACCTCTCTCCCTGAAAGCACAAAGGAGGCCTTGTCATTAGCTGTGATGTACTGACACCTGCTCTCAGGATTTAAGGACAGCCACAGTCTACTTGCACACTTCTACATTATTACAGAAATAAATAATTCATAATATAATCGTGTCCCTGCTTTCTGAAGGTTTAAATGCAAGTCTACCACCACCACAACATACACATCTAATCTGAAAGTACCTTTGGACAGCAGCCAGCTTCATATCTCACCCTACAGTTAGCCATAAATCTAACTGACATCTCAAAAGCAACTCAGAAGCACTGAACGAAGCAATAACACCTCTTCGAAGCCAGCCTTCCCAGCCACATTCTGCTGCAAATCACCAGGACGCCAACAGCCGAATTCCCACACCAAGAGCCGATCCTGCACACCTTCCCCACCAGTGTGGAAATTTTGGCTGGGGCAGGTAGGCAGCCCTGGCATTTGTACAATTAGCGCCAACACAGACAAAGGCTCACGGGATGCCTTCTGAGCTGAACACCGCCTGCGGAAACAACTCTTTGTTGCTTCATCTCCTAGCGGGGAGAAAAGGACGATCAAAACCCTAGGCATACAATGTGATGTAGTATTTCACTGGAAGCCAGCATCCCATCTCTCTGAACTGGGAAATGTATTTTTAACCTGTGACATTTAATAAGATTTGATATTAATTTCATTTTACAAAGGTAAGGATGGGACCAAAATAGACAGTAAGTGTACCTGGGAAGACAGCTTGCATTGTCTTTTCATTTGATATCTCAAATGAAAACTGTAGAAGAAACACAGCACAAATTACCCTGAGAGGGGTTATGTGAGATATAAGCCAGCACGTGAATAGATAAAAGGACAAATACGCTCTCCGAGGACCCCAACTAAAGAGTTTTGTGCAAAGCCTACGTGCAAGGAGAGGACAGCTCCCCAGTTTTATCAGGATGATAATTGCAAATACCATATGTACAAAGGTATCTTTGCAAAGTGGGGTACAGCAATGAGGATAGCACGTGCACTTACCAGAGAGATAAAGCTGGGGAGTTACGGCTAGGAAGTTCTGCCACAATCAGACAGGGGGGAGAACCTGGCCAGAAAGCTGTGCAAGATCTGACAACCGCAGCCGAAAAGCCTGTACTCTCAACGAGCTACATTATAAAGTTCCAAAGGCCAGAGCTCATTTACCTAAGGCATGAATAGAGCCAGGACACGGGATGCTTCATAATATTAAACAAATTAAAGTATATCCAAATTTACAACAGCCAGCAGGACAGGAAACTTTGATAGCACTCAGCGTAACATGGCCTTGTGCTACCCAGCTCTCTAGATGCAGTGGGGGAACAGAACAAGAATCTAAGAGACTGGAATTCTTTTTTAAAGGCTGCATAAAGTCATGATAAGAAGGGACAGAAAGCACCCCTTTTCCAGTCAGACACCCCACCTGCAATTCCCCTGCTTTCCCCAGGAGCAACCTCGTGTAACCCAAGGTGAAAGCCCTTCGAACTAGAGCTTGCTCTGCGGCAAGCCTCGTGTGCAAGGCTCCTCTAAACATGCCTGAGAAAAGCAAGAAGTTGCATAAACAACAAAGAAGATAAACTCCTCCTCTGAGAACATGCCTCATGCATCTGCTAAAGGTTTACAAGATCTAATGAAGACCAGATTCCTCTGTAGCATCACAAGAGAGCTAGAGGAGCAATGTTTTTCTCCCTGTGTAGGATGACTAGCAGAGTCCTCAAACCATTCCCAGAATTGTTTGCCTCCCAGGTTTTGACTTAATTACAACAGGACATGCACACACAAAGCAAATCTTCCAGAATATTAAAAGCAAAAAGGGATGAATCATTGCTGATCCTGACTTTTTTTTTCCCCAAAAAATCTCTCTTACAAGTCTCTGAAATGCTGTAGCCCAAAAAGAACAAAACCAAGTTGTCTTCAACCCTTCTCCCACCTGAAGGACTACACACACAACGCCCATGCAGGCACAGCCCAGGGAGTGAAGTGCCACCTGTGGCTGGGACAACCCAGCTTCCACATGCGGGTCAGGTGCTGGCTTGCTGGATGAGGCTGGACCTGTCCGTGCGCCTCTCGCCCAGAGCCACATCTCCCCACCCCACCTACCAAACGTGTTTGCTGATTCCTCCCTCCCCTTAGCACAACCCCATCACTCTCCCCTCCTTTCCAATGCTGTTTCTAGTACCCTGGACTCCCAGGTGGCACGGCCGCTTCCCAGAGGTGGTCAGGCCGACACATCTGGGCACCCTGACAGTCAGAACTGAGCTGCTTTCAAGTGGCTTTGGCTACAGCGGTCCCTCAGTTCTGCCTGCATTTGGTTAACAAGTTTATAGCTATTTAATGCAAACTAATTAACCTCCTCTGCTTATACTTGTTTAACATAATAAAAGCAAAATAAAGCCCCATTTAGAAGACCAAAAGACACACAGGATGCAGGAAGTGAGGGCGTTCACAAGTTCAGCTGAATTTGTGCAAATCCATCTGTATTTACTTCCCCTTTGAAATACTGTATTGCAATGTGACATCCCTTTCCATCTGACATGAGACGAACCAAAGACCAAGAGGACACAGGCTGCACCAGTCAAATAAATCCACGTGCATTTACATCTCAGGCTGTATCAGATCTTTTGCAAATAAGGCGAGGCCTAAGTCAACTCAAAAGCAGCACATGGTTTGCCTGCATAGAAGCAGTCACCAAAATAACCAAGAGCTCAGGCAGACAAACGTGTTCCCATGGGACTCAGGGCACGGCAGATTGGCAGGACATCAGCTACCCTCACAAGGAGAGGTAACCGTGGGTCTGCATGTCCCGACACGGCAGTGCCGCTCCGTGCAAGGACTCTTCCTATGGTGGTGCACTTCTGATCTTCCATAAGGAAAACACAGCAATCAGTTGACGCAGTAAAACACAGCACCTCTTCTGACAAAGCTTACTTCGTTGCAAGGATTAGATGGCATCTGGGGTTTCTTTAAAAAAAAATTCAAATAGAACTGCACCGAAGCATAGCTACATGAACCAAAGCCCGCTGGATTATTCTCACGGTAGCCGGCATCCAGTCGTTGTGGGAGAACCCTCACACTGGTGTCAGACCAGCACAGGAGCAGGTCCGTGCCAACCCCTGCCTCGTGCTGTGCTCGGAAGATGCGGCCCAGGGCGCCCATCAGTGCCCGACCCTGGGCGCCCATCAGTGCCCCCTGCTCGCCCCGTGCCCCCCCTGCTCCGAGGCGCGGGCACGCAGCGGCCCCGTTCGCTGTGGGGGCACCCAGAGCAGGGGGGGGCTCCCCCACCGCCAGCTCCCGGGGCCGGCAAACACCCCGCGAGGGGCGGCGAAGCCTTTTCGTGCCGAGCCAGCCTTCTGCCCTCCACGGCGCCGCGCAGGCTCTGGGCGCCCCGTCCCTCCGGGCAGCCGGGGCCGCCGCCCTCGCCGTCCCCACGCCCCTCCCGGTGCCCCCGGCCGCCCACCTCCTTGAGCTGCTCCATCTCGGCGCGGATGGTCTCGTACTCGAGCTCCAGCTCCTCGTACTGCTGCTTCAGCTGCTGCTTCTCCTCCAGCACGGCCAGCCCGTACTCGGCCGCCTGGATCTTCTCGCGGGTGGTCTCGCCCAGCTCCTGGCAGAGCCGCTTCACCTCGCTGCGCAGCCACTCGGGCTCCGACTCCATCACCAGCCGCCCGTACTCCTCCTCCTCCTCCGCGCCCAGCGACATGTCGGCTCCCCGCGACATGTCGGCAGCCGCCGCCGGCGAACGCCTCCCCGCTCCTAGCAGCCGCGGCCCGCCATGGCCCCCCCGCCGCCGGCAGAGCCCCCCCGGGCGGCCATGCAGGGCCCGGCCGCCCCCCGCCCCCTGCCCGGCTCCGCTCCGCTCCGCGCCGCCGGCCCGGCCCCGAGCGCCCAGCGCAGTGAAATCATTCAAAAGGCACGGCCGGGCCGGCGCCCCGCGGCACGCTGGGGCTTGGAGTCCCCGCCCCGCGCCCGCCCCGCGGGGAGCGCCGCCCGCGGGACTACAGCCCCCACAGTGCACCGCGCGGGGCGGCGGCCGCCCCTCGCACGCGCGGCGCCCGGAGGGAGCGGAGCGGCCCCTGGCGGCCGCGGGGGGGGCAGCGCCCGGGGACCCCGGGAGGGAAGCGCCCGGGTGGGCGCCCCTGGGGCTGGGCCTGGGCCAGCTCTGGGCGCCCCGCTGGGGCTGGAGCCGGAGCCGAACCACATCCCGGCCCCCCGGTGTGCCTGCTGAATGCAAGGCGCCGTCAAGGGCTAGCAGCTAGCGTTAGGGTAGCGGTTAGAGCTTGCCTTCCAGCCGCAGAAACGTGTGTGCTGTGAAGGACTCAGTGCAACCTGCAGCAGCCCGGCTCGTCAGGCACAGCCGCACAAGGGAAAGCTAATTCAGCCCAGGCAGGGTTGTGGCAGAAAACTGGCCACCAAGCACACGTCCCTGGCGGCTAGCCCCTTGGCAGCGAGTCCCAGGGCGGCTGGGAGTCAGCAGGCTTCAGCAAGAGCTGAAAATAAAAAGACAGCTACTTCTTAACGAGCTAACAGCAGGCAACGTCACACGCGCTGCCGTCAGCCCCAACAACTGACGTTCACACCAAAGAGCTAACCCTGTCTCGTTCTTTACAGTGTTTCACATCTCCAGGCAGTTGCTCCATCAAGCTCGCCATCTGCCCCGTGTTCCCCAGCATCAGCACCCTGAGGAGGGCACAGCCACGGCCCAGATGCTCACCTAGCACAGAACTGCCTGAGAAGCAGGGAGGAGACCTGCTGCAACAAGCTCCGCTGGCATAAGAAGCCGTGAGTCAGTAATACGTGCGGAGCTTCACCACACCGCTTGAAAAGGGAGCTGCCAAGCAGGCAGGAAAAAGCCATCAGCTGTTGCTACAGGTTGCAGCACTGCGCAGGTACAGCGGCAATGGCACGGGAGGTAGGCACAGAAATTGGGATACTCGTGGACACTCATTTCTCCACCACAGGTAGAATTAATTCCTACAGCGCACTGAAGGCAGAACAAAGCCAAATACCTCCCTTGGTTGGGCCGCTGTATGTCATAAGCGGCTCTGCAGAGGTGGTGTGAACAGGCCCCGGCTTCACACCCAGGCAGGGGAGGTGATGGCTTCACCCTGCCGGCAGCACCAGAGCAGCCTGACTCCCTGCTGCTTCACCCTCCTTCAGCACACCCAGCACAGTCTGGAGTTTTTTCATTGTCAAAAAGAATTGGTAAAAAACTTGCAAGAGAATGCCAAACACAACACAAACAATTACATGCTTGAGCACTCCACGAGGTCTAGGACACAAAGCACCACCTCAGCTCATAGCTGCAGGGGGTTTCCAAGGTATTTTCAACTTCTGCCTGTGCTCATCATGCTTTTCCCTGGTACATATAAACCCTTATCTCTTTAATAAACTGCTTAATGTCTGAATTTTACCTCTTAGCCATGCACCTGCCTTGGTCAGTTCTTCATCAGGGCCTGGAGTTCCACATGCCTCACGTGCAGGGATGTATTTCTGCCGTAAGCACGGATGCAGCACTGAAACAGTTGCCTGAGACCTAAGAAGTAGGAATTTGATGTCCTCACCTTACGGCAGGTATATGAAATTCCTTTAGCTTTTTCCCTTCAAAATTCCTCAGGAAAGATCTTATTTGTTAACAACGAGCATCTAGTTTGCCTACACCAGAAAATACTCGTACTCTGCGTAACCAATACCTCCACAGTGGTACAGCGTGAAACCTCCAGGCTGCCCCGTTTTGTGGGAAGCTGACAGCAAGCTCTGCCCCTGCGTTACCTCCTAGGAGAACTCCTGGCCCAGGCAGCCCCAACAGGCCCACCAGCAGCTTGGCTCTGTGCTGGCCCACCGATGGGCTGAGGGAGGGGATGGCAGGCTGACGCCGCCTGCCTCCAGACCTGCTGTGATTCTACCAGAAACCTGAGACTTCAGCTTTTTTTTTTTTTTTTTTTTTCCAAGGAATGTGCTGCATTGGTAAATTCTAGTATTACACCCCAGGGAGATCTATTAAAATCTAGGTAGTTACTTCATAACGAATTTTGCAGATTTGGATTTGGACACAGAAAAGTGCCTCTGACAGGTGTCCTCAGTGAAGACGCATCTGATGATGAAAAAAAGGAAAGAGAGGCCGAGAGGTGGGGTGTCACTGAGGTTCACTTAAAGTCAGTAACATTTCCTCAAAGTTACTTTTAATTCCTCAATTTTTGTGTCCCCAGGATTTAATGCGCTTAGCCTACATGCTTAGCATACATACAGCTCTCCCTTTCCAGATGACATGGGTATGAAAACAAAGATTTAGTACCATTTCCATAAAACTAAATCCTCATGTAGAGGCTTCTTCACTCTCTTGCACTGGCTTTATGCTGCTGTAACACCCTGATGTCACTGCATGACATAGAACGTTTGGGGGGGGGGGAGGTTAAGCATTCTGATTCTTTTATAAACCCAAGTGAGGAAAATAAAAGCATTGTCTCTTGGACTCTCCTCCACAACATGTTTTAAAGTATTAGGATTTCTTCTCAAATCTGTGGCATTTCATGTTTTTCTTTTGTCTTCCCCTAATCAGTAGCATTGCTAATCCCATGCACTCACAACTAATTAATCCATAAATATTTATAATAATCCATACTGGGTTGTTCTCTTCTGCCTCATACTTTCTGAGCCTTCATTGTGCTCAGGTTTTACTCTCTAAATCTGGGCTCAAACAAATTAGCTAACCTTTTGTGCTGCTCCTTTCCAGAAGCTGGAATTTGCTTGTAACAACTTACTCTCAGGATGTGGGGCTTCAGTTCCCATCCTGAAAACTGCTGGGTTTATAATTAAATTGTAAGACCTGACTAGTTTTTGAGATTGAGATGGGCGAATCAACTCACAATAGCTCAAGTGACCTCACTTCATATTTATTTCGTAGGGCATTCTTAAAACCAAGATTTGTTACTAGGTTTCATACTGTGTTATTTTGCTAAACTACCCTGCCCAGGATGCAAAGGAAAATGTCCAGCAGTAAGTAAAGCTATTTCAAAAGCATTTCTGGACAGTTTAGGAAACTGGAGTGGCTTGTCATAGCTTAGGTTCTCGCAATCATTCAAGGCAATGATGCAGCCTAATAAAAGCTTGTAACAACTGGATGAGCACAGCCTGGCCTGTGCCCATAGCCTCCTCCTGCGCACAACCAGAGGTCAGTGCCCATTGCAGGCTCTGTCTCCAAACTCTGTTAATGCCAAGGCTTAACTGTCACCCCGTTCATTCAAGGTGTCATGGCCAAGTGCAGCTGTGGTGCTATAATCGCTGCACAACAGATGAGAAGATAGACTCTCGGTCTTCTCTTCTGCTGAGGTTTTAAAGCTAACAACTGAGCACAAGACGGTAAGATCATACACAAACTATCTTCACTACTAAAAGCAAGCTGGAGAGTGCTTCTTCTTGAGGGAGCTAATCAACATACCCTGTCCTGGTACATAAATCAGCCCTGCAATGCTAGTTATTTAACCTGAATCTAAGCCCAAAAGCATATAGGCACTTTAATTCAATGCTGCAAAATGTAACTGGCAGACATGATGAGCTTCAAACAAGCTGATTTTTCTGATAAACCCTGCTGAATGATTGTGGAAAGCCAACCTAACCTGCACCTAAAAGTGGGCCAACTGCAGACATGAGAATCCTTTTAAAAATAAAAAATATATATATAAATAAAAAAATAAACTTTCTTTTACATCTTGTGTTGGATTAGTTCAAGTGTACGAAAATAAGGTGGTACAGCACATCATTGTTCATCCTCCTTTTATATACTGCATTTGTTTATTGCTCAGCTTTAGCAAATAGCAGAACACAAATCTCTACACTGGATCTGAAATGGCCTTAAGTATCTCTGGTGAATAGCGTTCTGAGCAATGTGCACTGTAGCAGACACGCACGTCCACAAGCCCTTTCCAGGCCAGGAATTGCTGTGCTGTGACCAGATGTGTGCACAGGGGCCACTACGAATTCAAGGCTAGGACTAATCATACAGAGAAAAAAATGAAATGGCTTCAGGGGCAAGAACATTTTGGGGCAGGCTTCGTGTTTGGGTGAGATACAGTAATGTACCTCTCTTACACAAAAGACAATTCAGAATAAGAACCAGAAAGGCTCAGGTGGCTTGAATATATTTATTCTAGTGACTGAAAAATCCGGATATACATTTATAGCTCATAAGTAGGGGAGAAGTAGGTGAAAACGTTTTACTGGCTGAAAGCTGCCGGAGGTGACGTCTGCATGCAAGAAACAAGCAGAGGAATTACAGACATTGCTCATCACTAAACTGAATTCTTAAGATGTCTAAGTGTCAGGAGAAAAATGTGACTTAACCTTCAACATGTAAGCAATGCCTTGGCTGGATTTGGGGAGCACAGGACACACAAGAGCGTGCTCCTTGACCTGAGCAGTTAGATATCCAGGCTGATCAACACTTGGCCCACTGCCAGGAGTTGCAAAGGAGATATGACTGGAGGGTCCAAGCAGCAGTGTCTGGCACGCCATCTGCTCGGCGTAGCAGGGAGCAGATGCTCAAGATATTTTCTTACACTGCCAGGGTGGAACAAGCTGGAGAGGAAGGGAAGATTTTTTTTCCCCCAAACATTTCCCTGTTTCCTTCTCCTGCCCTTTAGTGCAAGTCTGATGACTCCTTCAGTCACCTACAGCTTCTCTAGACCACACAGTGCCTCTCCTATTTTTCAGCAGTTTTCTTCTTTTGTCCCATTCACCTGACTTCCAATGCACAAAGATGCACTTAGGTAAGCCAGAGCCAAAGATCTGAAAAGACCACAGTTCTTATGGTTTGGGCCTTTGGATTTGCTCAGAGGTGCTGGGAAGCATGCTGCCACGGGGACTGGCT